TTTTTTTTATTTCAGGAAACACTGCAATGACTAATGTTTGAAGGAGAAATTGATCATCTTGTCCCAAATGGATCAGCTGTGCTTCCTCAAAGCGAGATTTTTGTCATGGTTGGTCGAATGATAGGACATTCAATAATAAATAATAATGACATTCAAATTGTCAGCTGTTGTGTTTACTTGATTTCACTATAAAAGGTGAATATATGTGTCCAACTAGTGCAAGTTGATTATATTAATTGTACTCAAGAACAATAACATTCAATTTGATACAGACTCTGGTTACCTGATAAGTTTATGATTAGTGTCTATATGCACAAGGTACTTGGGACAGGGCACAGAATACGTTCGGCGGACAACACATCCCAACTGAGTCATTCTTGACAGAATTCCCAAGCTGTCCACACGATGCATTGAAGCTCTGACTCTGTCCCATCCAAGATGATATCCTTGTGCTTTTAGTGTCCCTTTCACTAATCTATAGCCTGCATGCGGCATCCGGTCCTTAATTCCAATGATCAGTTCATCAAGCTCGGCATCTGTACATGAACTGTCAAGTCCGCGGACAGACAAGTTGTTCTCTGCCATCCTCCTGAACAGTGTGGCAGGAGATACTCCCCACAGCCTTGAAATAGTAGGAACCGACAGTCCGATTTCCAGCAGATGAGCAAGTTGGTCAGTTGGTATTATTATATTAGGCCGTCCCTTTTTGGTATGCCTTTCGACTTCAACAACTTCAGATGGTTCATGATTGTTGATGTGGTCCTGGATAGCGTTGCGTAAATCAGTGAGCCTGTCTGTAATATCCTGTGACATCTGAATATGTTGGGATATAGCATCAATGAAAACCGTTTCTTGGTTACATACAAATTCCAAGTAGTCAATATCAAGTGGTGTGTGTTGAAGAACATGCGTTATCCGTGTGTGGAGCCTCTCCAGGATATGCTGTTTCAATAAATCCTGTGAAGTAAAAGCAAGGTCTGATGAGAACTGTACACTGACATGTTCAAGAAAACAAACTGAACTAAAGGTAGTGAAATATGATAAACACAGTGTCACAGTCAAATTTGTTTTTTTTTATAAAATGTACACCATGCCAGTGACCATTTTGAAAGCTGGTGGGGTTAGGCCAATAATAGGAGGATGGATGGTAGGGGAATCAAAGGTTAGTTGAAAAGCCCACAACATAGTTTTTGCTGGATGTGCATATTATGAAGCCATGGAAATATATCTCTGATAAAGTTATAATGATTGTAGTTTCAAACTTATACAGTTACTCTTATGTACAGAGGTTGGCTACATACCCATCCATCTTGGTTTCCGTCCATTTGGTCCAATGTGGGTGAGTTAAAAGTTCTATAGAAGCAAAGGATTTTATGTTAAATCACAAAACATGGATGACACTGCCAATAGTGTTACGCCCCTGAATAAGGGGGTAAAATGATCACAGTCGTGATTGTGGTGTTTTCTCATTGAGTGGTTCACTCGAATTTATTTAAACAAAACAATAGGCAAATGATAAACAAACATACACAATAATAACAATAAAAAATTAAATAC